AAGTCGAACATAGCCAAGATATATATATATATATATATATATATATATATATATATATAAAGAAAAGCATGTGCATTATCTTTCTTTTTATATCTCTAACTTATCATAGGCTTTTTTTATTACTTGCTACAATATCACTAATTTTTAATTCTTTAACATATTTCGTCGTTTTCTATTTTTTTTCTTTGATCTTCCTGCTATAATTTATTACAATAATTGTACACAAATACACACATATATTACGCATTCACGTTTGACTTAAAAAGTAAACATAACCTCACTATATACCTTTCTCTTAAGTTTGTTGTACTTGGCCTGCAGCATCAGCTCTTCCTCCGTTAAATTTGACGGAAAGTGCAAGTATACCATGTTTTGCATGTAATATCAACAATAAATAAAATACTTCAAGAGTCCGTCTTTATACCAAAATTATAAATTTATTTTATATCTGCACTTTTCTTCTTTTTTTTCTTTCTACTTTCTACAACTTTCTACACTTAAGAATTTTTAAAAACTCTTTCTGGTAGTAGCTAGGTAGTCGTGTTGCTCGCAATCCTTTAAAATTTTTTACACTTGAAACGGAATGAATATATGAATGGTTTCGGGAAATGCGCTAAAAGCGTTGTCTTTGGACGCGTTCAGCCTTCAGCCGTTCAGCCACTGAACTCTATGACTCTATGGGCACAGTATATACAGTAGCGCAACTCTCCCGATTTTGTGTCGGCCAAAACGGAGTGCGCATGCGCAAAATAAGTAAGTTGGCCAGTAAAGGTACCTTTACATGGTAGCGTTAAGGTACCTTTACATGGCAGCATTAAGCGTCGAGCGTCTGCGCCATCAAAGGTGCCGACAGAGAGTTGCGCTACTGTATATACTGTGCTATGAGCCCGGGCACATAAAAAAACTTAAGCAGTAAAGGCCGGTATTCATAGTCAGTTCTTATTTCAAGACCGTCTTAAAGCCCGTATCAGACTACGCATTGAAGATTGAGATTCAAGATTCGAGATTGAAATTTGACCAATCAGGACAAAGAAAGTAGAAACTTGGCCTGAGGTAACACCGGATTAAGGGCCAATTTCACCAAGCTCGGTTAGATTAACCGACGGTTAAAATTAGCAGGGTTCCAACTGAAATGATAAGAATGCTTGGTTTTCCTTCACCTCTATTTTCTGTTGGCCACCCTGCTAATTTTAACAGTCGGTTAATCTAACCGGACTTGGTGAAATTGGCCCTAAGCGATTTTCCGAACGTACAAGGTAAAGGAAGAATATAATGGCGAAGCAAAATGTTCGGCGAAATCAAACGTTGTTTTTTGAAAATGACAGCAAAGAATATTACAGTTAATAATTATTTAATTCTTAATTTTTAATACACTATAATTAATAATTATTTAATTTTTAATTTTTCTGTAACAGCAAATAAGAATATAGTTAATTTTTTCATAATGTGTGTCTCTTAAAATACAACTAATAAAATCTTTAAAAAAATGTATGTAATAGTATAAATAAATAAATAATGGTATAAATAAATAATAGTATAAATGTAATATATATATATAGTCGACACCACTATATGTATAGATCTTGCTATATGTATAGAGTTCAGTAGTAAAGCCTGCGGCACACGGTACGATTTTTCCTACTGATTTTATTAATTGATTCGTTGTGTACTGTTTAGCGAAGTATTCTACGTGTTCCAATTATAAGAGTGTTACTAGTTTTGACTTCACACGTGTAGATTATTTTACGTGTTGGGTTAATATTTTAATTATAAGATTTCTAGAGATTTCAACAAAATTCTTCAAGACTCTAAAAATCCTCTAGATAATAGCCAATGATTGCTTATCTAGTCAAGATACGATTCAAGATATTTATTATGGAAGAATTAATAAAATTTTTTAAATTTTATTAGGTTAGGAAATCTGTCATTTTTAATTAATTATATACATATTCAATTAATATCACCATAATTATAAATAAAATACATAATTACTTATATATGTATATATAACTTTTGTCTTTATATTTATTATTATTTTTATTTTTTGCGTTTTTGTCGTAGTATCGTCTGCAGCTAGCAACAAAACCATAGTGAAATATAGCACCGAACCTATTACCATAAACTAGCATGCTAGCACGCACAGCAACACGCAGCACATAATATTTCAAATTTCAAGTTGCATAGCCATTATAATTGCTAGCGAAATGTCTCGCATGCGATCTAATATTCAAAATCGTACCGTGTGCCGCAGGCTTTACACATGTATCAGTTACATATTTACGCATGTGCGCAAAAATTCATCCTGATTTGTCCCTTCCATCATTACTACGCGTGGGTTCGAATTTCTTTGCGTTTGACGTCACCGTCACCACTTCGAACTTCGAACTTCGAAGAAGCTCCGTCCGATATCATTGGATCTTGGATCTCATTTGATCCTTGAACCCTTTCCCTAATTCCGCGGTTTGTTCCAGACAATTTTCAAGATAACGCGCTAGATATTCCACGATTCGACGAATAAATCGCCTCTCATTTAAAGCGTCTGAGTTTTCGAATTTTGACAAGATGTGCGTGTTGATGACAGCTTTTAGTCGGCGAGGATTTCTTTTGAGGGACGTCGCACAACTCAACATTAAACAATTGCGTTGTTCTAATAATCGCAATAATGCCTTGTCGCGATGTTGCCCCACGTCCTTGACGTCATGCATCGTTAACATTCTAAGTAAAAAGTTCTCTTCCATAAAAACTCCAATCTCTTCCGACGCTATCATCGAAGCTCTGACAAACCAACAAGCAAAGGAACTGACTTCGAAGCTCACCTCAGAAGAGCGTAAGCTGTTTTTAGTGGCATTGAATGAATGCAAATCAGAGGAGGAGAAAGCTGGTTATAAAGGTAAGCTCATTGTTTATGAACTGTAAGAAACTTGTGCTGTTTGACTGTTAACATATAATACTTATTTTATTTTGAGAATCAAGATTTAGTAGAAAATTTCTTTTAATGGAATTTCATATTTATTATTTATAACAGTATGCACATATATTATAATTTAATAAAATTATTGATTTTTTATTTGTATATTTGATAAAGTTTTTGCCTTTTTGCTAGGTCAGTTGGCAGCTTTCCGATGGAGGAGTAAGCTTGGCAGACCTAGCAAAATACCATCGCTGGGCGAGGTGGATCCTACAGGAACCTTCTGTCCCATGCCAGATGATTGGTTAAATCGCAAGTATGGTAAGAATATTCTTATTTATTATTTGAATCATATATTTTATTGTTTTATTTGTCAAGGAAAGAAAAGTTGAAGAAAGAAGCGCAGTTTTATTTCAATATCTTTGATGAGGTGTCTTTGTTACATTCATAAAGTGTTACAAACATTAACTTAGATTTATCATCTATAGATGTCGCAAAATAAAATTAACACCCTCGACTGTTATTTATCTTTGGATATAATGGAATCTTTTTCCTGCAATGCGATCTCCATGGATGTTATTCTGTAAGTTGATCTTTCCTCATTCTCTCATTCTCTTCTCTTCTCTTTCTCTTTTTCTAATCACACTAACCCTCTTGCCTATTTCTTCTATTCTGACACAATTTTTCGGATGTTTCATGGTCAACCACAGTACCACAGTTAGGTAATATTTTGAACACTTCTCTGATTCCCCCTTTTTTTTAACTGTTTTTCTACTGTGGAAATCAGTTTATATTAATTTTCTCTTCTTCCACACATTTTATTTCTGAATATCATAAAATTTCTGAGTGTTTCTGAAGTAACTGTTTATTCAAATTATTTTAAAATTATTCCACATTATATGTATAGACAGATTTGTACTTCTATTACGCTAAAATGATTATATATTTTTGCAAAAGTTTAAGGATATTCTGTAGTCGTGAAACCCTTTCCTTATTTCTGTATTCATTTTCCCTATGACACACTATTAGAAATAATTGTTCAACAGTTTTCCTTTTCCATTTAAAAATTTCTTTAAAAAATTTCTTTCTTATTTGAAATATTTTCATCAAAGAATACATCACTTCAAATATATAATTTTTGTATATGAAGAGTAGAATAAATTCGTCTTGTTGTAGTATTTGGTGGTGCTTGCTAGTTTTATTAAATAATTATATATTTCTTATAGTTCTAGTTGAACAATTGTAGATTTATATTGTATTTTTTCTCATTGCAGTTGAAAACGTTCCAGAACCAACTACAAAAGATCTGATGCTAGGTACGTACTATCTTCCATGTCATAGCTGTTTAATTATATGTTTGCAAGTAAACAATCAGTTACATTTGTTTCTTACCTATCTCGTGCTTGCTCCCTTGCATGATATGTTAATTAATGCTGTTCCATTTAAAAAGATTAGCTGTTATATATATGATAACACAATGATTACTTATATTATTCAAAAGCTGTATTCCTTTTGTATGTAAATATTTGATAATTTTATATATTTTTAAGATCACAATTGAATACAAATATCAGAATCTTTGAAATAAGTTTTGGTATCTGATATTGAAGCTTATTACACAATTATTTAATATTTAAAAGCATAAATTAAATTTAATATTTAAAAGCATAAATTAAATTTTGAGCAAAATAATTAACAAGATTTTATGTTTTAGTGAAAGAAATCTTATTTTAATAAAGCTTTAAATGCAAAATATGCAAAAATTTTGCATTTATATAATAATTTAGATCTCTCTCATAAATAATTCCGGGTGAAAATACAAATAATCTTAAACAATTATTGTATTTTTGCAGTCGCGTTTGCGAACGCAATTCCGTTCGTCGGATTTGGTTTTCTTGACAACTTCATCATGATTGTTGCTGTATGTATCTCATAGGTTTTCACTGTTCTATTGCGTGCCGACTTTTAAGATCGATGTTTCAGGGCGATCAAATCGAACTGATCTTGAACAGAAGGTTTCCGATCTCGACCATGGCAGCAGCCGCGTTGGGCAACACGGTATCTGATGTCATTGGAATCGGGTCAGTGCATTACGTTGAGATATTCGCCCAGAAAGTCGGCTTTAAAGCGCCCAAGTTGACATTAGCACAATTGAATCTACCTAGGACACGAATAGCAGCGAACTTGGTATGATTGCTTTGTCATATATTATTAAATTATTACTCTCGGGTATAGCAATAGATATACAAAAATTTATTTTGTTTATTGAAATTATAACATTAATATATATATATATATATATATCTCACTTCGTTTCCGAAAAATATGCCCGCGTCACTATAAATGCCGCACCCTGTATATATAATATATTCATGAAATAAATTCTGTATAATGTATCTCCTGAAGAACTTTTTCATATTGCTATTTTAGAAGTTTACATTATAAATTTTAAGAAAAGCAGTTACAGGACAGGGGGTTATTCAGATAACTATTCTTGCACAAAGAAATTTCGAGAGAATTAGAATTTGGCATAAATTTTTATTTAGCGGAATTATTTATAATGTAATTCATATCAGTAATTTTTCCATTTAATACAGGGCCGAGTCATCGGAGTTACGATTGGATGTCTCATTGGTATGACGCCTATACCCCTAGCCGCGCTTTTCCGCAGTAGCTGAATTGCTTGAAAAACGATTGAGAAATGAATTAAGTTAATTTACACATGGGACTAAACATCTCACTTATAGTAAGCACTTTGTGTCAAAAAGGCCTATAGACTTCTATAATTTTAATGTTTAACTGCCACAATAACAATTTGTCCCAACAAATGTATTTAATATATAAATGTATAGGATGTTATAGGCTGTGTAAAGAACATAAAGTATGTGTGTGTAATATCATAATTTTTCTTTTTTAACTATTATAACAATAGATTTTTTATTTCTTGCATGGTATTGTGCTGGCATTTCAATCCAGCACTGAATCTATTAAGTAAAAGTAAGTAAAGAAGAAACTTTCTTTTTTGCTTTTTATGTAGAGATAAAACTAGAAAAAAGAAAATAGTTTTAATGTCAGCTTCCAAAAGAATATTGACCCTTTTGTTCACTCATTCGTATATTTATTTCATGTAAAATCAAATAAATATATAATATTTAATGCCTTTAGATGATAGAAACACACATAATGTTCTCTCTCGTAGTATGCAATATCGGATATTTATTTGGAAAAACACGTTAGTATCGAACGTTATGTTACAAAAAGTTAGTACAAAAAATACAGATATATGTCTATATGTGAAAGAGATTGTTTAGGCAAAGCGTTATCAGAAAGCTAATAGTAAATATTTAAAGATATCGATGAATGAACGACTTTCATAATATAATTGGCCCGACCGTTTCCAACTATCAGCCTGATTGAGACTATAATGTTTCCTAATGCTTCCTTCCAATTCACATTGCGGCGATAGTCTTCTGGTGCAAAATCCTTCATCTTATCTATCTTTTCCATCTTCCTTATCTTTATAGCTTGCGTCGAATTAAAGAATTTGTCGTTAGTAATGTGCAATCTCCTAGTGGAATTTGTGAACTCGATATCGTTCTCCAAGATGCAGTACTCGGGCAGCCAAGTCATCATGGAATTGAGCCACCACTGCCAGCCAGCTATGTCGTTATCATCATCGTCGGTCTCGGCAGAATAATCAACATTCTCGTCCCGGATTAATGAGCCGGATATCGAAAGATTATTGTTGATTTTCTGAGATCGTGTATTCATCGATACATCAATTAAATCGGTTGACATGAAATTCGTTTGCAGATTCGCAGATTGTCCTGGACTTAGCGAAGCTCCAGGTAAACAACTTTGTACAACGAAATGGGCAATCAGAGTGGATCCTACGAGAGTTACCAAACCAACGGTATAGGTTGCTAAGCAGATCGAGGAGACGTTTATCAGGGTTTGCGCGAATGCAATCAGTTGAACAGAATTTAGCAGACAATTCAACTCTGTATACGAACACCATCCACGCTTTTGTACTTCCCGATTCGCTACATCTTTCTCTAGTTGTTGCAATTTTTCCCAAAAGTCTTGTTGCTGTACTAATACCGTCCAGTTCTGTGACATAAAAAATCCTCTGATAAATAGTAAATATTTTAATTATGATTATATGATTGTAGTAAACAATTTTTTTATTAAATTGATAAGTTTGATTATATGAATAAGTGAGGATAGTGTGTAATCTGTTGATTTTTTATTTAATATTTAATACATAACTTCAAAAAACTTATTTAATTAAAACGCGCTTTAATATAGATAATTCAATTTTATCGCATAAAAACAATCATAAATTGAATTAAATTAGAGAAATTTTATATATCAAGATTAAATCAAAATTTAATTAGAACTAATTTTACAATACCATAGAAAGGTTTAATCAGTTTTATTTAATTTTAGCCATAATTTTGTAACAATATATTTCATAATTTGAAAACAATATATAAGACAATATGTGCTTACAATTGCAGCAAGAAAATCTTTTTCCAATTTATTCATCCGAGATATAGTAACTTGTCCTGAATTTGCCCATTCTTTGTTGAAAACTTCGTCCTCCTCGCCATCATCGTGCAGAAATTTACTGGCTACCATCTGATAATTTTGATAAAAATCCATTTGAATAATGTTGTAATATCCATGTAAATTATTTTTAAAATCTATGATTTAAGTAATAATTGTAATGCTAAAAAAATAATTACCAAAGAGACTAAGAATAACTCAGATGGTGCTACTTGTTGAAGATATTCTGGATTACAGTTCTTTAATCTTTCAATATACAGCAGAGCTAATACAAGCGAGCAAGGAGAAACACACGCATTTCTAGATATTCTGCTTGCTTCCTCCACATCGAGTTTATCTAATGTATGACTACTCTTTGCTTCTGTAAAAAACTCAGCTGCCAATTCTGAAAACATAAAAAAATTAGTTCGTAAATCTTACTTTTTTAAATTAATAATGTTAAATTTATTTTTGTACATAATAATATTATAAAACAAATATTATATAGCAAAATAAAATACAAATATATAGATATCATATATGACCAATAAATTATAATAATGCTAGCTTTTACAATTCAATATTATACTTACCAGTAACTGGTAAACTTAGGCAGTTAATTTTTGGTAATTTAGAATAGTACAATGATTTTCTTATGCGTTTCAAGAACTCGTTATGTTCCAGATCCTGTAACAAAATAAGTGGAATGTATCAAAAAATTCAGTTCGTGAATGAATAATACTGAAAAACGCGCAATAATATGTTTTTATCAAATAATTTAAATGTTTTTCAAAAAGCTATTCAATTTTAATGAAAATGCTTTTGATAAAAATGGATAATTTTCCTACAAATTCCACAATATACATAAAAAAATATCTATGTGAAAATATTTATAAAGCTGCATATATGTATGTATTCACCATTGAGTTTACTGGCCCATTTATGTCTTGCCAGCTGTTTGTCATTGTTAAGTATTCGCGTTTATATATACCATAAACTTCTTTGTAATATTTGATACTTAATAACCAGAAATGCTATTGTGTGTTTCAGGCAGTTACTTCATCAATATGAGAGAGACGTAAAATTTCTTAAAAAACCAAAATATATGTCAGTTGTATCTCCAAACCGCGTAACGTACTTGACGTGCTTCGTGCTTACGATAATATAGGTTGGAAACATAAAAAAAATGGATTCAGCAGAACCAATCGTTGAATTGTCGCCTTGAAATAGCGGAGACTAATTGGCTGGATCTAAAGGTAAGGACCAATCGACTGTTGTTTGACAGTTGTACAGCTGATAGCTCTCAATACGGCAATGGCTTCCTGCGTGCGAACATTGAAAATATGATCAAAACGAACAGCCTCGTGCCAAAACATAACTTATTATAAATATGACTTATCCATTTAATTTAATGGAATCAATCATCGATGAGGTTGCTTTGGAAGGATTAGATGGCATTACTTTACAAGGTTAACAATTATTCTCTTTTTATTACTTTCTATTCCAAAAGTTTTTATAATTGTATAAAATATCGTATATAATTAAAATTGAATATAAATAAAATTGAATATTTTTATTATATTTTTATTATATTTTTTAATTTTATATCTACATTATGAATAATTTTTTTCAACATTTTACATGTCTTGGTGTTTTTTTTCTCGTTAGCATTATGGATGAGATTAGCAAACAGATTTCATGATCCATTGCCATTGCCTAAGTGTTTCATGGAACAGGTATGGTCAATAATTAGAAAGGTGAAAGACTTTTCATTTTACAAATTAGAGACGCCAAGAGAACCACTGGTAATATTTGATCGTTATGAATTTGTGCATCCTGACCTAGGCATTATACTTGAGCCAGTAAGTATATTAAATTAATATATGTTTACATGTATAGTTTTAGAAAACATATTTTATAGTTTTATAAAATGTTAAAGAGACCAGTCTTAAATTAAATTAATTAAAATCATTAATTGTTTAATAAAAAAGATAGTTTCAATAAACAAATATTTAAGAATTCAATTTGAACAATTTTTTGACAAGGTAGTATTGTAATTAAATTGAGCTTTATAAGAGACTTTAAATGATTTAAAAGATTTATTGTAAAAAGTTGTCTATTTTATGAGATTTAGTTATATAAGTCTATAAATTCAAAGTGTTAAATCAAACTATATTTTAAAATTTCCCTCAATTTTTTGTGAATTTCTAATTTAGACAACAAATTCTAAAAAAATTTTTTCTCACATTTTTTTTTATTTTTGTATTTTTAGTCAAGTGTTCCACCAGATATTTATCCCCATTGTCCTATTCAAGATCCTAAGACAGGTGTGAAAGGATCTTGTTCTACATATTATACAAGAAAGGATATCAAAGATAATGTGAAGAATGCAGATCTAGATGAGGTAACAGAAAAATATGGACTAAGTTTGGTAATTGTAGCATCTCAATTGATCAGGACACGGGCTTTGATGGGTGTCGATGTGAGTCCAACATTGGAGCTGACAATCATGCATTATTGCTTCTTAGAGAGAGTGGGAAGAGCTCGTTATCATGGTGAAGTTACTCAAGGCAAACTCAGTTTAGCAGCACTCAAAGAAGATCCAAAAACTTTGTTTTATCATCGAAAGTTTCTGTTACATCACAAACTAATCACAAAGCAAATTCACCATCAGAAAAGCTCCGGCCATTGTGGTAGCGGTAGCCTTCTGCATCTACCACGCTTTTATGTAGAGCGAAAACCAAAAATGATTTACTTGGCGGAACAGGTGCTTGACATTCTAAGATCTAAAGAAAATGGTGTAGCTGAGTATGATGAGATTAGGAGAAAGCTTGGAATTGATAATTCTATCAAAAAGTTGTTTAAAACTTCTTTCTTTCAAAAAATTGTGAAGACAGACATTTGTGTGCCATATAGAACTTTGTATCCTAACGCGGAGCCTAACGAGTGGCGAAAAAAACAGGATCCTTCAAAGGAGAAGAAAATTAGAGTGGTACAACTGCTATATCCAGATGTTGATATTGCAGATATATGGAACAAGGATGAGAAGGACGACGACGAAGATATCATTGAGCTGGATGTTTCCAAACATAAAGTCAATGTTCCTTATTTGAAACAAGCAAACGCTATTGTCGAAGAGAGTCGATTAGAAGGTGTATCTCAAGGTAGAGTCTAATTTTTGTAATTATCTTAAAATCTTACTGTTCAAAATATTAATTTGAAATCTGTGTATTTGAAGTTTACATGTCAGTAATTTGAAATCTACATGTGTGTGTTGTGTGTATGTTTTCTCTAGAAATCATTGTAACATTACAAAATTAAGAAGCTTTTTTTAAAATGTAGCATTTTTTATGAAGCATAAATACTATGGAGTAAATTAAGAATAACAATTATTTTCTTGTCGAGACACGAATAACTTTTAAGTTTTAAGTGATCAAAAATTAACAAATGGTAAATAAATCATCCCTGTTTTAGCTTATTTAGGAAAGCAGATGGGTCTCACCAAATTGCAATCTAGGACATTCTTGAGAAATATGATAAAGATGGGAATTATTGCAAAATATATGAACGACATGGGTCGACAGAGAATTACAAAATATGTGTCAAAGAAATTTGAGAAGGGCAGTAAGATGAGTAAGCAATTTAACAAGGAAATACACAAGATTAAGGAGCTCACCAAGAGAATCACCAATAAGAATGAAGGGAATTTCAAAAGCGAAGTGGCCTTGCAAGTGAAAGATGGAAAGCCTTCTGTAAACCATGAAGATGATCAGACAAATCAGGAATTGGATCAAGTTGATCAAATCAATATTGATGCACCGATTGTTAGTAAAAATGAAGAGGAAAATAAAGATATAGATCGTATTAAAAAAGACATAGAGTTGAAAAATTATACCATCAACAGAATTTTGCACAAGTACCAATTGTCAACAATTAAATCTAAATACAAGCGCACATCATCACAGCTCTTATTAGTAAAGACGAAGAATTCCAATATTAACGCGAAAAAACAAAGAGTGAAATCTAATGTTTCATCTACATCTATGCAGCAAATTGCGAATGATACCAAGGCTACGTCGTTTTATAATAGCATAAAGACGAATCTGACAGCGCAAAAGCCCGTTCGTATTGGGACAGGAGTCAGCGAAGTCTTCGGTTTTATGGAAGTTGTGCAGAACAGTGAGAAAAATACGTCTAATATTACATATAGGTATGTAAATACAAATAGTACACAAATTTAAGAAAGTATCATCTCATTTTTATCAAATATAAATTTAGTTATATTTTTTAATAATATAAACTTTATATACTACAAAAAACTTTTTCAGACATTATTTCTTTTATGATTTGTTAGAAATAAATATATTTTAGATTTTTTTACTATACTTTCATATCATTTATTAAATATTTTTTATCACTGTGTTCAGATTGTTGAGGCGCGCCAACATGATCATCGAGGCAGTGAAGGAGCACCAGGTGATTGATGATACAACAAAACTCATGAAAATGATTTGTGAGGAAGAGGATAAAGAAGGTTATGACGTTAAGATCGACAAAAAATCTCTTATAAGGCTACTGCAAAAACTCGCTAAGGATAATTTGGTGAAGAATATCAAGTTGACCTTGAGCGCGAACGGACGAGAAAAAAACATGATGTTTATTTGCGATCCAAATATCGATACTGATCATACCGTGATTAAGTCGGCCGTCGAGCAAGCGAAAGTCAAATTTTGTTTGTTAGCATCTCAAAAGGCAAAGTTAGCAAAAAAAGCGGCGGATAAAAATAAAGAAAATACAGTGGACAAGCCATCGGATTCTAAGGAGCAATTGCAAGAACTTAACAAGACAACATTTAAAAATACGTTGTCTTCTATCTACAAGTATGATGCTAGAGCTGGCAAACGATATGGTCTCAGTCCAAAGTTCATCAGGATGCAGACAATGCACGTTTTGCTCTTTTATTTAGTATATGATCATCCTGGCATACCAAAGTTATCTCAGCAAGAGCAGATAGAAATTCTTAAAGCTAATGATTATGAAATTGATGATAATCTCGTTCAGGAATTTAGTACCATTTACAATACCGAAGTAGGCTGGAAGATGTTTGTTCCACCTTTGCCTAAACACAGCGGATGGCCCGAGGGTTGGGCGCTGATGTGCGACGTTCTATTGGGACTGCCTTTGTCAATTTTCGTTAAGGTGCATAACATCACCTTTACGATACCCGAGTTGGAGCACTACTTGAATCATCCGATTAGGAAGCATTACCTTGTTAAGAATCTTCCGGTGAGTTTGAAAGAGAGGAAACTTAAGGATATAATATACAGTATCGTCAAAAATAAAAACAAAATAGTTTTAATGAACGGTTTCGGACAGTTAACTACGATTCTAGCTAGTGATTCCAAAATCAAGATGACAAACTATTTTGTTAAAGTTCGAACAATGGCTTTTACGATACAAATTTGTTTATTAAAAATGTTCTCTTATTTTATAATTTGTTTTTTATGTTCAGGTCACAATACGGAACACTCTCTTGCATGCGCGGAAATATATATTTAATATCCATGATACCGTTACTAGATTGTGTTACATCGGTCTGGTACAGTTCGGCCCACAGCGACTGAAAGATAAAGATCAAGTATTCATCTATCTAAATCGACGCACGGAATTGATGGATACGGTCTCTTCGGCACCGAGCTATCATAAGATCGAAGACAAAATGTATCCGGTGACTAAGTACTCCTTTGATCGTATGCAGGTACTATTGATACTGATCATGTAACTGATCATTGTTACAGAAGTTTAGAAATTTGTAAGGCAATTGGGGCATCTTTACAGATCGTTGAGAAATACTGGTACGATATGTGGACTATTTGTGTTAATACGCCACTTGGGGGGAGATTGGCCGTACACGGTAAGGATATTTTACTTGAGGATCTGAGCAAGAAGACTGCTATGATAGAAGCGATTGTAGCACGCACTCCGAAACAGACCGCGGAAATGGATACAGGTGCGGTTCCCGGAGATCGTAAAGGAGCTGCTGGTATCGATTCAGCTTTCTTTGCACATTTAAAACGTAACTGGAATTGGTCGATTAGTTCTACAAATCGACAGGTAAGCAAATGAAGAAGTCACGCGGGATAAAAAAATAATTGTTCTATAAAAAGATAAAGTAAAAC